AAGGATAGAAAATTATCAATTACCTAAGTATTTAAGACAATTTTGGGATGGGAACATAAATTAGAAATTCAACAACTCACTTTGCTGAAATACCTCTTTTCAGCATAGCAGTAGCTGAAAAGCACCATAATGATCTACAGAAGAATATATAAGGCTTAAAAAAATAATTATTTTTCCTCTTTAAATGAGCTACCTATCCTCATTCATTGTTCTGCAATTGAGGTTGCTGATTTAGTATTAAAAAACTTGTAAAAATACAGAATTTTAACCTTTGCAAATCTATTTATTTTCTTTCTGTGGCTGGATTTGAATACAACTGAAATGCAGCTAATTATTTTAATGGGTTGTCTTACTTTTGTCTCATTTTTAGGAAAGATGACTAGGGACAAAAGAATTGTCCCCAGTCCCTGCGCACAGAAAGTAATTTTGGAGTAGATGATGAGCAGATCAGTGATCAGCTCATTTCTGATTTATGAATAACTGCAAACTCTATTTGGTTTACAAATAAATAAATTTCAGGCTGACATTTTCCAGTGAACATTTTTCAGTGACACAATTGGCTAAAACTGTCAATTAAGCTGAAGAAAGTCTGAAATAAACAGCATATGATTCAAATAGAAATTGTATTAAAATTGTAAATAGGCTTTGAGAATAGAATTTAAAAGGACACTTGCAGCCTTTGTGGATATCCTTGTTACATTAAATACAAAAAGTCCATAATCTACATTCAAAGTTCATATAACTGCTTTACTCACAAGTGAAAAAGTGAATCTGCAAGAACACAAGCACTTCTTAAGAAGCAAGACTAAGACTTCCATGAAGATTCCTTGCAGAAAAATACAGGACTTATGTTACTAAATTCTGTTCTGCTTTCACAGTTATCAATCATCATACTGAGTCAAGGTGCCCTCTTAATGTGACAATGAAAGAGAACTAATTAACCTAGAGCAGACTGGAGTGAGCTGAAAAAAGTCTACATGATTCTACATGAATAGCCTTTTATTTAGAAGGTGTTGAGATATGCATTTCTATTTTGAACTAAAGAAACCAGAGACACTACTACCCTCTCTTTTTTTTTTTT